AGAAAGGGGGTAAGATAATCTACGCCACACTTAACAAAATCCCCTTCCTTTTATAACTCTCTCCTCACACACTTCAGTAACTCCATGGCCTGTGTCTGGCAACCACTACCAGTACCCCAGCTCCTAATCAAATCCAAATCATAAAAGCTTCTCTCCATTTTTTCACTGGACAAATGGTCTCAGCCCACTATTTCTTATAGAATCGCTACAGAATCAAAAATAGTTATCTCATTGGGGAATCACACTCTTTTAAAAACTTTGAACCTTCTCATCAAGAAAATGTTGATCATTATTTGACAAATTTCAAGGAGGCGAGTATGTTACCTACCCCAGACTAACAATCCCAACTTTAATCGCGCAGGTTTTGTTTTGTTTTGTTTTGTTTTTTGCCTCTCCCCAACCCTCGAAGGTGCAGGAACTTGCTGTACCCGTGACGACCCACAGATGGCGCTGCAGAAACAGGTAAGTGCATGACGGGTGTAAGAAAGAGACTGACAGGGGGCGGGGATTCGAGCCGTCTGCCGCGGGGGGGGGGGAGGGGGCTGGAAAGGACTGGGAAGGCGCGAGCTGCGCTGTGCGCGTGCGCAGGGCCGGGCACTCCCCCGGGAAGTGAGGGCTGCTGGGCCGGATGACGTGGCCTGCCTCCGTCGCTACCGCTGCGGCCTCCCGGGAGCCGGTGCCCGCGGAGCTCTTCACGGCCTAGTCCGGACGCACGTGTACTTGTGAGCGGAAGCGGAGGACAGCGCTGGCTGCCGCCCGCCCTGGGGGACTCGCCGGGGCGCTGCCATGGGGGAGTGACGTACCTGTGTTAGTGGCTCCGCGGCAGCGTGCGACATGAGGCGACCGCGCGGCGGGGGCAGCGGCGGCGGCTCCTGAACCCGGGATGGAGGAGAAATACGGCGGGGACGCGCTGGTCGGGCCCGGCGGCGGAGGCGGAGGCAGAGGCGGCCTTGGGCCGGTGGACGTACCTAGCGCTCGGTAAGGGACCAGGGGCTGCGTCGCCGGGTCGCGCACCGCGGCCCCGGACTCGCCTTCTCGGCCTCCGTCGGGTCCGGCGGGAGCCCTGGGCCCCCGCGCTTTCCCGCCAGCCCCTGGCTGCCTGCGGGCTTCTGGGTTCCGTGGACGCTGCGGGCCCCGGAAACTTGTGCGCGGGGTCTGGGTTCCGGGCGGACGGTCAGCGTAGGACCGCCGCCGGGTCGCTTCCCTAGAAACGGTGTCGGGCTGCTGCCCTGGAGTAGCGGAGTGACTGCGTAACCTTCCGGCTCGCCCTGCACCCAGTAGGGCTTGTCACCATCGCCTCTGATGCGAAGAAACCCAAGTACTAACCGAAGCACTTGGGAGGACAGGTCGTAAACCAGCACATCAGAAATCCAGCCCCGTCTTCGAGTTGACCTTTTTTAACTTTTTTGAGGGGAGGGGGCTTGTTTTATTGTCGAGAAATATGTGCTCCTTTTAAAGGAAGTCAGACAGGGGCTGGGGAGATGGCTCAGTAGAATAAGTGCTTCCTTGGCAAGCACAAGGGCCTGAGTTCAATCCCTGGTTCTGCAAAAAATAATAATAATAATAATAATAAATAAATAAATAAATAAAGGAAGTCAGACAGTACAGGAATTCACAGAGCTTAAAGTGAAAATTTCCCTTTGCCCTTCCTCTAGTCGTCCAGATCCACAAAAGATCAGGGACAGGTAGGACACAGTCCATTGCGTTGTTTCCTAACCTGTCCTAAGTCCTGAGGTCGTTTTGAAGGCGCATAAAATGTGGCCCAGCAGTTTGGTTGGAACTGGGATTCGTTGCCTTTTTAGTGAGGTTAAGTTTTCTGATTCTTTAGTACTTCCTTTGAAGTTTAAAGATAGTTTTGGTAAATTCAGTATGACTGTAGTAACTGCGTTCTTAACATAACTTGTGGGAAGGAAAGAAACAGCCCATATGCCAGAACAGAACTTCAACCAACTGCGATTTTGTGGCACGAATTTAATTTTCTAATCTATTTTGAGCAGCTCATTCTGTAAGTAGCAATGTATCAAATGTTAATTATTGGCCCTTGACTAAATAAGGGATTCTGGTCTGGATGGGGAGATATTACAAAGGCCAGTTGACAAAATTGGACTGTGAACCATAGATTAATATATCACTGTTAAGTTTCCTGTTAATAAATCTACTGGTTGATAGAAAATATGCTCACATTCATAGGAAATATAGGCAGTGTGTTTAGGAATGAAGGAGCGTGATATTCTGTATTTTACTTACTCTCAAATGATAGCTGGTTGTGGTGTCACACACCTGTAATCCCAGCACTCAGGAGGCTGAGACAGGAGGATCACCGAGTTCCTAGCCAGCCTTGGCCATACAATAAACTCAAGGCCAGCCTGAAATACACAGCAAAACCCTGTCTCAAACAAAAAATAATCCAGGAGGATAAAAAACCTCTGCGAATTTAGACAGAAGGTAATAAAGCAGATGGACAATATGGTAACAATTAGGGTATCTAGGTACAGGGTCTACTGTTCTTGCAATTTTTTTATGTGAACTTGAAATTATTTTTAATAAGTTTTAAAGTGTTTTCCACAAGAGCTTATTAGTAGGTAAATATGTTTAGCAATCCTTTGACATCTTCTGTGTTATGTGGTTGGCAGAGTGGCCCCTCCCCTATTGGGATTTATTGTAGAATCAAGTTGAACTCAGAAGTGGCTTTTTGGCTTGTTTGTTTTTTGAGATGGGGTCTCACTGTAGTCCACGTTGGTCCTGAACTCCTGCCTCAGCCTCCTGAGTTCTGGAATTACAGGCACCACCACACCCAGCAGCTACTCCGAGCAAGCTCAAAAAGCAAATATGAGCCCAAGTTGAAATTGCAGTAATTTCAGGCTTAGAAAACCAGAGAATTTTCTAGCGTTTCACAAAAAGAAAAAAAAAAAAAAAGACCGGTGGTCCTTTATAAGAGACTACTTAAGGGCAAATAATGGCTAATGAATTAGGGAGGTAGATTGAGCACCCCTGTGTTATCTAGTGAGGCAGCCTCTCAAAGACTACTACCTATTTTAAGAGCCTCCTTTCCTCCTCCATCCCCCCACCCGGGATTTCCCCCTTAGTGAATTGTGGGGGGGGGCAGCTCAGCCCACCAGGGGGCGGGGCTGGCTGGCATGTGGTGCTGGGGGATTGAACCGCGGTCCCTGTGCTTTGCTAAGCTTGTTCTAAGTAGGTGCTTTAGACCACTGAGCCAGGTCACCAGCTCCCCCCTTTAGTGAATTAAAACTTAATCTTTCCCTCCTTAACTTGAGTTGGGGATGTCTGCTTATTAACATACAGCTACTTGATCTTAGCTAATGTTTCACTTTCAGCCCAAAAAGATGCCATTAATTAGTAACCTAAATATCTGGTAGTCCTTTTTAAAACTGTTTTGATGATTTCAAGTCTTTTTGGATTTTTATAGAAAATTGTTAGCTTCAAGTATTTCACCTAAAATGTTTCCTGAGATTTTTAATTTTTCTGTAGTGTTTTCTAGTTTTATGCTTATAGATCTTGTAAATTTTGTGATGAGTTTTATCACCATTTTATATGTTAATACTCTTGTAACCAGTGTGTCTTAGTTTTTGTTGTCACGATGAAGTGGAAGTATGGTTGCTTTTCAATAAACATTTATTAAAAATTTGAAGATATAGTCTATCTTGAACAAAAATGTTGATTTTTTTCTAATTTAATGATGTAGCAATATCAAGATATGTACAGTTGTAAAATGTGTGAATGAATTAAAATTGTGCATACATTCATGAAAATGAAGAGTTCAAGGCGGCGACCTGGCGCAGGGGTCTGGGCTCCGGGCTGTGGAGCGCGAGGTCGCCGGTTCGCGCCCCCGTCCCGGCTCTTTCTCTTTTCCCACGTTTGGATTGGATTATTTATTTATTTATTTATTGAGGGAATGATTTATTTTTGGGGCTGGTGAGATGGCTCAGTGGTCTAAAGCACCTACTTAGAACAAGCTTAGCAAAGCACAGGGACCATGGTTCAATCCCCCAGCACCACATGCCAGCCAGCCCCGCCCCCTGGTGGGCTGAGCTGGCCACACACACACATAAATAAATAAATAAATAAATAAAATAAAGAAAATGAAGAGTTCTGTAAGTATCTACCAATTTGATTACCTTTGAGAAGGAAATTTGGAACAATTTTATTTAAAACTTCCACAATTGCTTTTTTTTTTTTTTTTTTAATTTTTTTGTGGAACCGGGGATTGAACTCAGGTCCTTGCGCCTGCCAGGGAAGGGCTTACTCCACTGAGCCATCTCCCTGGCCCCACAATTGCTTTTGTAACCTGTGTATGTGTTTGTAACTTAAAAAGGAAGTGGAGAAATAGTAATACATTATCAAGAAGTGGTATTTAGGAAGGGGCGTTGTGGGGCTGGGGAGATGGCTCAGTAGAAAAAGCGCTTCCCTGGCAAGCACAAGGGCCTGAGTTCAATCCCCACTTCCGCAAAAAAAAGAAAAGGAAGGGGAGTTGTACTGAGTTTTACTTAAGCTAATGTTCTGACTAAATCTTGTCATTCAAATGCCAAATTTGTTAGGTTTTGTTACTATTTTAGACAGAAGCTATTTAGAAATGTATATATTATCTTCTTAAAACAAGCATATTGGTATAATTTGACTCTGGAAGTGTAACTCAGTGAGAGAATGCTTGTCTAACATACATGAGCCTCTTGGTTTGATCTCTACAACAGCAAATTTTACAGATAGATAAACAAGACTGATGGGCATAGAGATATAATTTAGTTTCCTTAATGATGTCTTGTCATTATGAGTATCACCTAGTAAACTAAGCTTAAATGAAGTACCACTGTCCTGTCAGACTCCAGTACAGTGCTTAGATTTTGTATATGCTGCTCACAGCCCTTTGAAGTACCCTGCCCTTTCCTCACTTGGTTGTTCCTTTGTAGTCCGCAGCATACAATATGTAAGATGTTGTTTGCCTCCCTAGTTAAAGTTAGTTGTTCCCAGCTGGGCTTCTGCTAGTGCTTACCTGTAATCCCAGCACTCTGGAGGCAGAGGCAGGAAGATCACTGTGAGTTAAATGCCAGCGTAAACTACACAGCAAGAAGTGATACAGAATTCTGGCTGGGGAGATGGCTCAGTAGAATAAGCGCTTTCCTGGCAAGTGTAAGGGTATGAGTTCAATCCCGTTCTGCCAAAAAAAAAAAAAAAGACACGCTGGATTCAGGAGGTAGAAAAAGAAAGGACTGCAGAATTTCACTAAACAAAAATAATAGGAATCCTACAGTGGTTGTTGTATTACATAATATCTTCATATTAGTTGTTTGATCAGATATAGACATACAAAATTAGAAAAAGAAAAAAATTAAGCAGTAATTGCTCCTTTCAATAGATCAGCAGAAATAAGCAGTGCCAGTTGTCCAAGCTATCTTGTATATGTACATAACTGTATCTTTTCCTTTTTTTTTTTTTTTTTTGTCATTTTCCTCATTTCAGTTTTTCCTTCCCTTTGAACAGATTCCTTTCCCTTTTACAGGATATATTGTACTTTTCAAATTTGACTCACTTCGGTTCTCTCACTAGCAAGACAATACGATGTTTGCACATGTGCTTCTGATGTATTTCACTGACCAGTGTAGTTTCTAGTTGCATCCATTTACCTATGAAAAGCCTTGAATTTATCTTTTTTGTAGCTGAGTAATATTCCATTGTATAAAAATGCCACATCTTTTTTATCCATTCCTCAGTTGATGGGCATTTGAGTTGTTTCCAAGATTTACCTTTGACAAATTGCCGCTGTGAACATTGGGTGCGCATGTATCACTGTATACGATGATTTCAGCCCATTTGGAAAAATACGTAGGAAGGGAATGACTGGGTTGGCTGGGACTTTGAGGAAGCAATATTGAAGAGTGGCTACACACCCCTCTACTGTAGGTGATGGGTATATAATTGGGAACAGTTGAGAGGATGAGAACCTCAAAGCCTTTGGAAGAAACTTCGATTTTGTGATACATTTAAAAAGCAGACTAGCTGGCAAGATAGCTCAGCAGTTTCAAGCACCTGCTTGGGCAAGCTTAGGCAAGCTCGCAGGGACTGCAGTTCAATCCCCAGCACCATGTGGGCAGGCTGAGCCGCCAAAAATAAAGTAAAATAAAAATAGCAAGCTAAAGAGGCATGGGCTTGACCCTACCCAGCTCTCTCTACTTCAGCTTTTTAATCTAAAACTTCAGACGAGTTGGGCTTAGAGAATCTTCAATGTTAATGTCCTGGTTTTTTCTAGTACATTTATTTTTCATTCATACCTGGCTACTTGCTAGAATTTCGGTAGGTTTCCAGAAGCATGGCTTGCTGAGAAATTGAAGCCTGGTTGTTGGGCTATTAGATCAAATGAATGAACAGAGGCAGAGTTTAGAAAGGAGACTTGTTTCCTGTTGTAATATTACTGTGGATCATGATGTTGTTGGCTAGCTCATGCCAATCAGAAGTATTCCAGATCCTTTTCACCTCAAACAGAGAATTGGATTAGGCAACCAAAATGGTGCCAGTGGAATAAGCTCAGTAGAATAAGTGCTTGCCAAGGTCCTGAGTTCAATCCTTGGCACTGTGGGGGGAAAAAAGGTGCCAAAAGTGTATCTGAAATGTGAGGAATGAGAGACTATGGGAAGAACTAGCTCTACAGATGAACTTGAGCTGAACAAAGAGAGGAACGGATAAAAGCAAAGCTGAAAGTGTTGTGAGGAGTTCATGATAGCAGGCTTCTCCTGGTGTCTCCTCCCTTTTATGCTGTCCACGTCTCGTGAGAGAAGTTCTACATATGGGTTCCTGGGAATTATTTGTTGCTCTTCTGGGATCTTGTACTTGACAGGTCCTGCTTATCTCTTCCGCCGGCTTTGCCATGCCCCACCTCCTGTATCTTTGGGGTCCAGACAAATTCCCAGGTTCCAGTGTTTGATGGACAAGATATTGGATGTGGCACAAAAAGCAGCAAAGCTTTCAAAGGCAGTGATACATTCAAAGCAAGTGGGCTCTCATTCGTGGCAGGAAAATGGTACAGAGTACTGAGAGTGTAAGATGTAGGGGCATCAAGAAATCGAGCAATAACAAATGCTGGAGGGGCCATGGCAGGGGGACCTTCACTGTTAGTGCAGGTGCAGACTCATGCAGCCACTATGGAAATCAGTGTGGAGAGTCCTCAAAAAGCTAGGATTGGAGATTCCATTTGACCCATCTAGTTACCTTCTAGGTGAATCTTCCCAGAAGAATTACGAACACCATACCACAGTGATATATGTGCACCCATGTTTATAGAGCACAGTTTGTATAGCTAGATCTTGGAAACAACCCAAATGCCCATCAACCAAGGAATGAATAAAAAAGATGTAGTCTTTTTATACAAGGCAGCACTATTCAGCCATGGAGGATAAACCAGAGACTTATAGGTAAATGGATGCAACTCCTCATATGTGAAATAAGGTGCACATATGCAAACATTGTATTATCTCACTAGTGTGAGAAGCTGGAAGAGTAAATAAGATCCAATATGTACAGCAGGTACTGTAAAATGTGAAGAAATTTAGAAAGGAAAGAGAAACTGGGACAGGGAAAGGAGAAAAGGGAGAGAGAGAGAGAGTGTGTGTGTGTGTGTGCATACACAAGATAGTTAAAATACTATCACCTTCTTAGTTCATTGTAAAAGTTTTGTGCTAACATTGTTTGGACAATTAAATGCCTATATCTTTTACTCTGAGTAATTTGAGGATAATATGCAATGTGTTAACTATTGTTACCCTCCTATTATCTTGTTTTGAAATTTTGGTGGTTTTTAGTTTTTTTCTCTTAAAAAAATAAAGACGCTTAATCTTGTACTAGTTATTGGGCATCTTCCTTTGGGGTGTTCCAGAGCATGATGGACCACATGACTGACAGGGTTCTGAGTCTACTATCCATGCCCTTTCCCATAATTCATTCTGCTCTAATAGGGTGTGTGTATGAGATGCAGTCCCTATGCATGACCCCTCAGTGAGCTCCAGTAAAGAATGGTTACTGCAGGTCGTAGGCAGAGCGCATGTGTCCTAGTTTAGAATTTTGGAATTTTCCAAGGTGCTGTTAGGAGTCTTTTATTATCTCTGCCTCCATGTTGTAAGCTTTAGGACAAGGGTTAGAAGTTGACCCTTCAGCATTGCTGAGGTTTAGGTGAGTGGAGGGGAGCTGTCTACAGCCCCAATTGTACTATCTGTATTAGTACTGGGAACTGAGCCTAGGGCCCTGCACATGCTAAACACCTTGCCACTGAGTCACATCCCCAGTCTTTTTAAAATTTCGAGACAGGGTCTTAGTAAATTGCCCAGGCTGGCCTGGAGCTCAGTCTCCCAGATAGCTGAGATTACAGATGTACACTACTGTGACCAGCTAAAATGCTTTTTTGGTCTATTTTTAGTCCAGTGCCTCATCCTTCCTTTCCTCTGCTTTACATACAGGCTTAGCCCCAGGCTGTTTCAGGACTCTGTTAGTGGGAGAGAATCTACACAACTAGAATCTGTGATCAGATTACTTGGAAGACAGGATTGTCCTCTGCAGTTGGCCACTCCCTTGCTGAGGTGCTTCCAGGTCCTGAGCCTTTTCATGGCTGTAGGTCCTATCACCAGAATTTATAACCACAATCCTCATTGTAGTTGCTTAGCAAGTTAGAGGAAAGGCAAATATAAGGCATTTACTTTGCCTCTGCTTCTTCCTATGTTATAGTCTTCTAGTTTCATCACAGATAGAATTTAGTTCCTACTCATTCTCCTTGTTTGGAGTAACTTCAATTAGGGCTGGGGAGATAACTCAGTAGAATAAGCGCTTGCCTGGCAAGTGCAAGGGCCTGAGTTCAATCCCCTGTTCTGCCAAAAAAAGAAAAAAAATGGAGTAACTTAAATTAGAAAGCAGATAACAAGCACTCATAGATACAGCCTATAATCCCCTTTCCCTGAAGCCTGAGACAAGAGGAACAAAAGTTCAAGGCCAGCCTGGGCAACTTAGCAAGACCCTGTCTCAAAAGAGAACAAAAAGGGCTGGTCCTGTAGCTCAGTACTTACTGGGTTTAATCTACAGTTTCAAAAGAAAAATTAAAAAACATGACAGAGTAGTTCTAGCAACTCAGTTAACCAGGAACATTTTCATTTTTAGTTTGATGCTTTTTTTTAGACTCTATACATTATTGTTCATACCCAAATATACATTGAAACCAGGGATCTATGTACCAAAATGTTAACAGTAGTTATGAGATGGTGGTGAGCTGTTTGGGATTTTTAAAGCCATTGTTTTTCATATTTGTTTATGTGTATTTCTGTGGTTTCTGTAATGACTTGGATTACTGAGTTCCTGTGACATCAGTGATACTAAAAATTGTTGTGCTTCTATTTTTCAGATTAACGAAATATATTGTATTACTCTGTTTCACTAAATGTTTGAAAGCTGTGGGACTTTTTGAATCATATGATCTCCTAAAAACTGTTCACATCGTTCAGTTCATTTTTATATTGAAACTTGGGTGAGTATGTGGGAAGGGGTTCTTAAGGTTTTTATTTCTTGGAAACCCTGTTTTAGCACTATCTTTGAGAAACTTTAAATAGAATATTTTGTACAATTCCTTCTGGCATGTATTTGGTAATTTTTTAAAAATTGAATTCATAAGGTTAGAGGCAAGTGAGAAAAGGAATTATTGTATCTGTGACTGTTTACTCGTTGGCCAGAAATACAGGCTTTTTGCTTTAGGCTGTGTTAATGAGGTGTTTGTAAAGTTTGTTTTTGAGATATGGTCTTGCTATGTAGTTCAGGCTGGCTTTAAACTCACTATGTAGCCCACACTGGCTTAAGACTCAGTCTCCCAATCTTGGCCTCCTAAATGCTGGGACTCCAGGCATTTACCACCACCTGGTACAGAGTTCTTTCAGTATGTATTTAGTAGAAGGCAACAGGATTCTCGTGTGTGCTTCAGCAGTCTGTTGAAGTATCTCATACCATCTATGTCCTGAAAAACACCACTGTACAATATATTCTCTAGAGAATAAAAATTAAAAGACAGAAAAAGAGAATGTTCAGTATTTTTATAAAAATTGGTTGACCTTGCCTGGTGTGGTGGCACACATGTGAAAGCCTAGCACTTGGGAGGCTGAGGCAGGAGGGATGCTGTCAGTTCAAGGACAGCTAGAACAACATGGCTAGACCTGTCTCAAAATGAAACAAAAAACTGGCTGATTGTGCAGGCTCTCTAAAAGGGTCTTTAGGATCCTCAGAGTGTCCACTCATTGAGGAGACAAAAGATGTTATCTGTGTCTTAGCACAGGTGTCCTTGTTTTCCTAAATGAAACTATGCTATGCAGTGTTCCCTACATACTGCCTACACAGCACAAGGTCTTCACATTGTATTGAAGAGATCAATCGTGACTACTTTCTGTGCTCATAAAAATCTATTAAACATTCTTGGGAGTATAATCTTAGGAATTTGGGAGAGACTTTTTTTTTTTTTTTTAGACAGAGTCTTGCTGTTCAGTTCAGGCTGGCTTTATGCTCACTTTTATAGCCACCAGGCTGATCTCAAACTTGCAGTGATCCTCCTGTCTCAACCTCCCAAGTGCTGGGATTACAGCTGTGACCACCACACCTAGTTCTAGGGGCAAGAGACAACACTAACAGCGCCCCCAGGGATCTGGGGCTAGTATGGCATGAGGGATCGAGGATCAGACTTGGGTCCTTGTGCTTGCCAGGTAGGTGCTTATGCCTCTGAGCTATCTCCTTAGCCCCTGAGATTCTTGACTAGGAAATTTTAAGCAATTATATATACATTTTTATGTAACTATTTTTGGTAATCTGGAAAGTAGGGACATATAATTAGTACTTCATTTGTATTATATTGGTTCAAGATGTTATTATTGAATTTTAAGAAGATGGGAGGGCCGGCCAAATAGTTCAGTGGATTAAAGCACCTGCAAGCAGGCACAGGGCCCAGGGGCTCCATCCCCTGGCCTGCTGTGCCAGCCCCACCCCTGGGGGGCACTGAGACAGCGAGTGAGACTGGGCATGATAGTGTGTGCCTATAAGCCTAGCTCTTGGGGAGGCTGTAAACAGGTGGATCACTATGAGTCTGATCTACCAGTGAGACCCTGAATACCCTGTAGACCCTTCCCTAAAATACAAAAAAAAAGATAGAATTGGGAATTTTTTTAGTGTTTCAAGGCCTTAAAAAATATTGAGTAGGGGGGCTGGGGAGATGGCTCAGTAGAATAAGAACTTGGCCTGGCAAGCACAAGGGCCTGAGTTCAATCCCTGGTTCCACACAAAAAAAATATTGAGTAAGGGGCCGGGGAGATGGCTCAGTGGAATAAGCGCTTCCCTGGCAAGCGCAAGGGCCTGAGTTCAATCCCTGGTTCCAAAAAAAAAATATATTGAGTGGTGGTGCATACCTGTAATCCCAGCAGAAGCCTGAGGCACAAGGATCACTGAAGGCCAGCCTGGACTACATAGTGAGTTCAGGGCAAGACTAAGAAATAAAAATTGAGTCACCTTAACTTGTGGGGCTTGTGAACCCATTTTGAAGATGTTTATAAAAGAGACCCTAAGATGTTGTTATGGAAACCTTATTATATTACTATGATCCTCATCCACTACAGTTGTCTAGAGGACAGTGTACCTTTCAAGTTCTAGTATATTTGTTTAAAATTAATTTCTTTAAAATCACATCTTGGGGCTGGTGAGATGGCTCAGTGGTCTAAAGCACCTACTTAGAACAAGCTTAGCAAAGCACAGGGACCACGGTTCAATCCCCCAGCACCACATGCCAGCCAGCTGCCCCCTGATGGGCTGAGCTGGCCACACACACACACATACACACACACATAAATAAAAAATTTAAAAAATAAAATAAAATCACGTCTTGGAGCCAGGGACTTGGCGCAGTGGTGCAACCCAGCCTAGCAACTGTGAGGTCCTAAGTTCAAATCCCAGTGCCCCCCCAAAAAAAAAATCACAACTTGTATTTAATATTAATTAATATTAATTCTACTATTTCAATATTTACAGGGCTGCATTTTTTATGGTTTTGTTTCAAAAGCCATTTTCTTCTGGGAAGATTATTACCAAGCACCAGGTGAGTTTTTTTCAGAATATTTATTTGTAGCAGCTTCCCATTCAATGGAACAGAATAGTGCTCATTTGTTGGTTGAGGGATTGTCTTAATATTATTTTGAGGGGCCAGGGAGATGGCTCAGTAGAATAAGCACTTCCCTAGCAAGCATAAGGGCCTGAATTCAATCCCCGGTTCTGGGGGAAAAAAAAAAAAAATTGTTTGGGGCTGGTGGGATGGCTCAGTGGTCTAAGGCACCTACTTGGAGCGGGCTTGGCGAAGCACAGGGAGCGTGGTTCGATCCCCCAGCACCACATGCCAGCCAGCCCCGCCCCCTGGTGGGCTGAGCTGGCCACACACACACATAAATAAATAAAATTTTAAAAAATTGTATATATTATTTTGAGCAAGTTACCTGATTTCCTTCTGCCTCAGTTTGCTCACCTATGAGGTAGAGATAACAACTTTCTAACTTCAGGGATTGTTTAAATGCACAGTAGAAAAATTCCAGAGTCCACTTGTTTTGACTTGACTTTTCTGAACTGAGACTTCAGGAGTAAATCATAAAATGCCAACATAGGCCAGCTATGGTGCCTCACACCCACAACCCCAGCATTTGTGAGGCCGAGATACGAGATCACCACAGTTTTGAGGCCAACCTGAACTATACAGCAAGACCTTGTCTCCAAAAAACAAAAAATAAAATGTCAAGATAATGGGATGTTTTGAAAAGCAGAGGACAGTAGAAAATTGTAGAAGCATATATGCAGTCGTTTTAATAGAGGCTTCTCATTCTGCGAGATGCACGAGTTGGACGTGAGGCTGCCTGTGAGCCTAGGACACTACAGTGTCACTGGGAAGCCGATGGGGCTAAACGTGAGGCTGTGTGAGTCAGATGGATTCTTGCTGTCTTAATATTATTTTGAGCAAGTTACCTGATTATGTTCTGCCTCAGTTTGCTCACCTACGAGGTAGAAAGAACAACTTTCTAACAGAAATGTGAGAAATAATGTTTACGTGTTAAGTCCTTAGAACAGTTCCTGAGATATGTAACATGGCTGCAGCGCGTCACTTTCATCATCACTGTCATCGGCAGCTGAGTTCTAGGCTTCATGCCAGAAATGCACCCCCTTCTGCATGGCCTCACGCTGTATGCCTTGCCGGCAGCATTTATGCTTCCTGCATGTGTGCACAGTGCAAAGAAGACCTGTAACACACTGGGTTTTTTCGTTAGATGAAGAATATTTTTAGAATTAGTAGTTTACCTTTTTTGGGGGGCGGGGGTAGAATGGGGGACTGAGCTCAGGACCTTGTGCTTACCAGGCAAGTGCTTATTCTACTGAGCCATCTCCCCGGCCGTAGAATTAGTACTTTAAACCCCATCTTTAAGTTTCTCTGTTTTTGAGTAATTGGTACACTAAATTCCTAATGGAAAGAAACTTAAAGACTAATTATTAGGTATTCCTGAGAAACTGAGAGAACAAAATATATTCTGTAGAAAAAGATTTCAAGATGTAGGGGCTAACAAGATAGCTCAGTGGTCTAAAAAGCCTGCCAAGGCAAGGTTTGGCTGGCGCAGGGGACCTCAGTTCAATCCCCAGCACCACATGCTACGCCAGCCCGGCCCTCAGGGTGGGCTGAGCCAGCCAAAAAATTAAAAGCAAACAATTTCAAGATCTAGAAACATACAAGAATGTAAGTTTAAAACAGGACTATCTGGGGTCCAGGGAGATGGCTTAGTGGAATAAGCGTTTCCCTGGCAAACACAAGGGCTTGAGTTCAATCCTCAGTTCTGCCAAAAAAAAATGCTATCTTGGAAATCTAGAATTCATCAAAAGGGATATTAATGTTTTTCTATGTAATTATCTACACTTTAAAGTATTTTTGATGCCATATCTTCTGTTTAAGGTTGAGATACTTAGCAAAACATATGTGACTGAAACTTTGCATTTTTTATTTTCATTTGTAGTGGATCAAAATATTTAAACATGCAGTTGCTGGATGTATCATTTCCCTCTTGTGGTTTTTTGGCCTTACTCTTTGTGGACCACTAAGGTAAATAAAAAAGCATATTTTGAATGTTTATATTCTAATTTTGTTCTGTGTTTTATGTCACATATTTACTTGTACAAATGCTTCTATCATTTCTATAAGCATCCAAATGGACTCAACAGAGAGAGCCAGCAAGAAAACTTAGCTAGTTTATGAACTAATTCTCTGGTGAATACCATTTATGTATATATCATCTGTCCAACTGTTTCAGTTATTAAGAAGTCAAAGAGTTTCAGAAAATGTTTAGTATAAATGGCTTTTTTAAACTCACTTATCAGTGATCCATGTTAGCAGCTGTTTTAGAAACTAAAATTTCTGAAATGGTAAAATCAGTTCAAAAGGAAATTAAAATCTTTAAAAGCACTTTTTTTTGGCCTAGTTCTGCAAGTAAGCTTGTGAACATATGTGCTAAAACAGTGTGTCAGTCATGATTATGTAACCCTGTGGTAGGCTGACTAGACTCTCACTTCCTGCTCCTCTAGATCTATATATAATCTCCTAGCACATACGGGCCTATTTAGTGAGGAAATGCTTAAGGGCCACTTAACAGGAAACATGTGAAACTGAAAAGCATTCTTTTACTGATTTCTTAAAAATTTTGTGGGTAAGGGCTGGTGAGATGGCTCAGTGGTCTAAAGCACCTACTTGGAACAAACTTGGCAAAGCACAGGGACCGCGGTTCAATCCCCCAGCACCATATGCCAGCCAGCCCCACCCCCTGGTGGGCTGAGCTGGCCACACACACACACACACACACACACACAAATAAATAAATGTAAATTTAAAAAAAATTTTTGTGGGTAAATGTGAAAAAGAAAAACATTGACATTGATAGGAAGGGAAACTGAAGAGAGGTAAAGAATAAAATGGAGGAAAGGAAAGGTGAGGAAAAAGGAAGGAAACCTATAAAGAATTAAAGTATGTACATATACCAACTGCCCACAGTGAATGTAATTGTTACTTACTGCAAACATGTGCTAATAAAAATAAATTTTTAAAAGTCAAAAACTAAGGATTTTTGGCTTAGTTTTGCTTTTTAAGACAGAGCCTAGGGGCTGGTGAGATGGCTCAGTGGTCTAAAGCACCTACTTAGAACAAGCTTAGCAAAGCACAGGGACCGCAGTTCAATCCCCCAGCACCACATGCCAGCCAGCCCCGCCCCCTGGTGGGCTGGGCTGGCCACACACACACACACACACACACACACACACAAAATAAACAAACAAATAAATAAATAATTTTAAAAATTAAAAAAAAAAAGACAGAGCCTCAATGTGTAGTTCAGGCTGGCCTGGAACTCTCACTGTCCCCCTGCCTCAGCCTTGGAAGTGCTGGGAATGTAGACATGTGCCACCATGCTGGGCACATCTGGAAGAATATGTAAAGCATGTGATTCTTAAAAGGTAAAGCACGATGCCTAGACACTATGAAGGATGTCTTAAAGGCCTTCACTCAGATCGGGAGTAAGCTGAGTAAAAAGTGGTGCTTAGAAAATGCCTTGTGAAAGTGCTTTTCCCTCATGGCCTGCTGAGTCCTGTTGGCTTTTTGCCCTGTGCTTTGGCAGGTGCAGAGCACAGGGCAACAATAAATATAGGTACCCAGCCCTGTCAACAGTAGCAGCAGCATCCTGAGGGGTGGGAAAGCTGGCTCAAGCTTGGGTATAAAGCTTTTCAGCTTATGCCTGAGTGTAACTAGGTGCTGCTGAATTTTAAGTTTGCCACTCATGTATGCTTTAGTTCATGTCACTAAATCACTGTCCCTATATATTAAGATAGGGAAGGAAGAAGTAAATCCTTGAATTCTTACTTGGCTCCTTAGTTATCAACTTCTCACCTTTACAGCCTCTTTCAACCATCAGTGCTGCCCCGTCAGTCCTTTATTAAAACCACCATGTAGTTTCTTGATGAGAAAGACTCCATTGGTGGCCAGACATGGTGGTGCTTGTCCATAATCCCACATCCTTAGGAGTCAGGCAGGAGAGTCACAAGTTCAAGGCCATCCTAGGTAACTTAGTGAGACCTTCTCAAAATAAAAAGGTTTGCAAATGGCGCTCAATGATAGAGTAACCTGAGTTCAAACCTCAGTACTGCACAAATGCTGTTTTGGTATTTCATAGTTTGTCTTATTCTAGGTATTACTGTTGATACATTTATTTTCTTAAATTATCAGTATATTCGCATTACAGTTTTTTGAATAATTAGAAAAATGAAAATTTAATAAACACATGGAAATCTGTTACTATTCAGATCCCATAAACCTTTTGTCTTGTGATGTTTAATTTTTTCAAAAGCAATATTTGCATACATAAGAATAAAAAAATATATAGGTATAAAGATGTTTAAAAGCCGGGTGTGGTGGCACACATTTGTAATCCCAGCACTTAGGTGGCTGAGACAATAGGATCACCATAAGTTCAAGGACAAGTTGGGCTACATAATGAGTTAAAGGCCAGTCTAAACTACATAGTGAGGGGCTGGTGAGATGGCTCAGTGGTCTAAAGCACCTACTTAGAACAAGCTTAGCAAAGCGCAGGGACCGTGGTTCAATCCCCAGCACCGCCCCCTGGTGGGCTGAGCTGGCCACACACACACACACACACACACACACACATAAATAAATAAATAAATAAAATAAAATAAAATAAAATAAAAAGATTAAACTACATAGTGAGACCCTGTGTCAATAAATAAATAAAGATGTTTAAAGAATAATAAAATGAACATCAGTGTTAGTAACGTTGAACCACCAAAATAAAACTTTACCACCTAGACCCTGGTGGTGCACACCAGGGTAACCCCAGCTCTCAGGAGGCTGACCGTGGAGGATCACTGCAAGCTCAAGGCCAGCCTTAATTACACACAAGACCCTGCCTCAAAACATGAAAAATAAATAAAACCTTACCAGTATCTTCAAGCCCTGTCTATGTGCCTCTCCTGACTATCTGTACCACCTCCCTGCCTTTGGATATAACCAGTGTCTTTTGTTTCTCATTCTTTTGATTGTCTTTAAAATTTTATATCTTTTTAATGTTTAGTGTGGCAGGTTTTTTACTTTAGTGAACTCACAGTGCATTTTTTTCCTGCAATGTGCTTGTCCCATTCAGTGTTTATGTTTTGAGATTTGCACATTTGGTACATGTAGTATATAGGTATTCATTTTTATAGTGGGTTTTTTGGGTTTGCTTTTGATTGTTTGGTTTTTTGTTTTGTTTTTCCTGGCAGGGTCTTCAAATTGTAGTTCAGGCTGGCCTTACACCCACTATGTAGCCCAGGCTGGCTTCCAGCTCATGGCCATCCTCCTGCTGCAGCTTTCCAAGTGCTGGGATCACAGGTGTGTGCCACCGCACAAGCTTATAGTAGTTGTTTGGTTTTTTCTTTTTTTATATATTTTTATATATGTGCATTTACGTTTTTAAGATCTATTGTCTTCAGAGTTGGGTGTTGTTGCACACACCTGTCTCAGCTAATTGGGAGGCTGCGACAGACCAGTGACTCCACAGGTTCAGTTCCAGCCAGGGCAGGGTAGCAAGATCGTGTCTCAAAAACAAGGTCGGGGAGCTAGACATTGGACTTAGTGGTAGATTGCTTGCCTAGCTTACACAAATACCCATTTGATCCCCAGCACCACAAAAAATTAATTGATTGATTAATTTGAATATAAAATTAAGTAATTTTGTAAGTTCATAAAATATTCTTCCCCCCACCTTTTTTTTTGTTTTTTGTTTGTTTGTTTGGGGTTTTTTTGCTCCTCGAATGCCTTCAGGGCACTTTTGGCTGGCTGGAGTGTTGTGGGGATCGAACTACAACAACCTGAGGCTGACAGCTTTGTGGAAGCAGCCACTTAAAGAACTGAGCTAGGGCCAGGCCCCCTTTTTGTATTTTTAGTACAGGGTCTCACTACATAGATCAAACTTGTGATCTACCTGTGTTCAGCCTCCCAAGTACTGGGATTACAGGCATGCACCACCACACCCAGTTGCATTCATTGTCTCAGCACAGCCCAGGAGCAGGGCCAGCACAGCAGGCCAGGGATCAAACCCTGGCCGATGCGCTCTGCCTAAGCAGGCACTTTAGTCTACTGAGCTATCTGGCCGGCCCATAAAATATCATTCTTACTGCTTCATAATAGTCTCTTTGTAGAAATATTCCAGTCTACATCATTTATTCTCTTAGTAGATGTAAGTTGTTTTGGCCCACAGCAAGCAATGCTGATATGAGCAGCCTTTTAAGTTGGGTATAATATCCTAGGAGTAATATTCTGGGGTATTTTTAGCTTTAGCTTCTCTAAATAATACCAAAGGATTTGTCAAGGTAATTGAACCTACTTAATTTTCTCATAATTTTTGTGAAACCAAAGGAAATACTTTTGCTCTAGGTAAATTCATTCTTCATGATAAAGATGAGGTATACTGGGGGACTGGGGAGATAACTCAGCAGCAAACTCAGTAAGTGCCTACCTAGCAAGCGCAATGTCCTGAGTTTGATCTCCAGTACCACCAAAAAAAAAAAAGGTATATTTCACAAATTATATTGTTTTGTCTTTATAGGACTCTGCTATTATTTGAACACAATGACATTGTTGTCATCTCATTACTCAGTGTTTTGTTCACTAGTTCTGGAGGAGGACCAGCAAAGGTAAAGCTTTCCATTATCAATGACTTGGAAATGAAAAGCATAGTTGTAAAATATCATCCAAAGCAAAACAAAAAAAGTTATCTTTTACCATTTTACAATAATGAATGGGTGTTTTACACTAGTTCTACATTTTTCTTGCAAAAACATTTATCTTTTTTTTTATTTTAAACTGATTATAGATTCCTTATACATTGCAAAAATCAATGTTTCTTTCACTAATTTCCCCTAACGGTAACTTCTTACCCAGCAGAAGTATACTAGTAAAGCCAGGAAGTTGCCATCAGTACAATCCATAGGCCTAGCTGAGGTTACTCCAGTTTCACATGCAGTTGGGTGTGGATAGGTTTGTTTGTTACCACCACAACCAAGCTACTAAACTGACAGCTTAGCACAGAGATCTTTGTGCTGTGTCCATATCCCCTTTCTCACCTCATTCTTAATCCTCATATATTATTTTTGGAAAATAACTATGAGCTTGTTATATATAAAGTTTGATTAGGCAGACACAGGGGCCGGGGTTTGATCGCTGGCCTGCCGTGCCAGCCCTACTCCCAGAGTGCGCTGAGATGGTGAATGAGATGGCGTGGTGGCGAATGCCTGTAATCCCAGCACTTGAGGGGCTGAAAAACAGGAAGGATCACTACAAGTTAGATCTGTATTGTGAAACCCTGTAGACCCTGTACTAAATACATTAAAAAACAATCAGATACATAGGCTTAAATATTGCATGGTTTCTCTTACATGAAAAACCAAGATTATAAATAGAGAACAAAATAAATTGTAGGTGGGGCTGGCAAGATAGCTCAATGGACTAAATTGCCTGCTTGGCAAATACATGGACCATGGTTCCATCCCTGGCACAAGTCATGTCAGCCACGCCCACAGGGTGGGCTGAGCCAGCCACAAAGTCCAGGTGTAGTGGTGTATGCCTATAATCCCAGCACTGGAGAGGTTAAAAAGCAGGAGGGTCACTATGAGTCCACGCTGCATAGTGAGACCCTATAACAACCAAATACACTGAAAATGAAAGATTATAGGAAGTAGGGAGCTAGATCTTTCTCAAAGGGGAAGAGGATCAAGAGCTTGACCAGAGGCAGGGAGAAGGGGAGAGGATGTGAAAAAGAACTACTATATGTTACATATATGTACGAACTCCACACAAGAAATATAAACATTGATACCACAAACATATATTAATAAAAAAATTTAATTAAAAAAGTGGTGAACATTTATCCAGCATTTTGCCAAATAGCATCCCTGTATTTTTTTTTTTTTTTTTTTTTTTTATGTATTTGGTACAGGGTCTCACTATGCCTCTCAGACTTGTAGTAATCCTCCTGTCTCAGTCTCCCCAGCACTGGAATTACATGGGATAACAAGTTTGTGCCACCACACCTGGTCTTAGTGGCCGACTCAGTGTACCTGTGGCTGAGCCAGCACAGCATGCAGTACCAGGAATCAAACCCAGGTCTTTGTGCATCCTAGGCAGGCACTTTGATCACTGAGCTATCTCCGAAGCCATCCCTGTATATCTTAAGTAATTCAACTATTACCCACCTTTGTAAAATTAGTTACAAATCTATAATTCTGTGGGAGCCACAGTGTTTCCATTTTACCAAATTAAAAATTGTCCTAGACACAGGAAAAGAGAAATAAAGACAAAGATACTAATCTATGTTCTGCAAGGGAGTGTCAAAGCTAAGTAATAAAGGGAGAAGAATAAAATAAGGGGACAAAGTATCCTGCCAGGTAGAGCCCAATAGGAGCACCTGGTTCTGAAATTGGGTGATTAATATTAAAGCATAGGCAACCATTGTTCTTCCACCTCCCTCAGGAAGCACTCCAGAATTTCAAGTGCATTAGACATTTTAAGCTGGAGGTGGTGATGGGTACCTATAATTCTAGCATTCTAGGAGGCTGAGGCAAGAGGATTACATGTTCAAGCCCAGCCAGGGCAGCATAGACCCTGTCTCAAAATAAGGTTAAAACCAGCTGGATTGTTTTATTTTGAGACAAGATCTATGAATTTGAAGGCCCTAGTGCTGTACAGTCTTAACATACAATAAAATAACCTACAGAGGGCCAGCCAGATAACTCACAGGACTAAAGCGCCTGCTTAGGCACAGTGACCGGATTTGATCCCCAGAGTGCCATGCTGGCCCCACCCCTAGGGCATGCTGAGACAGTGATTGAGACTGGGCATGGTGGTGCACACCTGTAATCCCAGTGCTTGGGAAGCTGAAAACAGGAGGATCACTGCAAGTCTGATCTGTGTAGTGAGACCCTGTACTAAATATAAAAAATAAAAACCTACAGTATAAAGTAGAAAAGAACTTTCTAAGCATTAAAGCAATAGGGGACATAAGTATAGAAATCACCACAAATAAATTTTACATTTTTTAGAATATCAGTCATATCAGTTAAGAAAAACACTTAAGTTCCACAAAAGAGATAGCATTCTCTGATAGGTGGTATCTAAAACAAAAAGAGGGGCCAGGGAGATAGCTCAGTAAGCACTTGCCTGGCAAACACAGGGTTCTGAGTTCAATCCCTGGTACCACAAAAAAAAAGCAAAAGAGAAACTACTATTAGACAAAAGGAAAGTAATAAGGAGAGGAGAGGGGGTATAAGGGAAGGTGATGGGGCATGTGGATATGATCAAATTAGGTTATATGCATGTGCGGAAATAGGCCACAGTGAAACTTAGTATCTTTAAAAATTAATATAGAAGAATAAAAAAGTTTGGCAGCATTAATGATCAGTTATGAGAGTGTCAATATTGCGTGTCCTTTTAGTAATGAATCAGAGATCTGTCCACAACTGTCATGATTTTTTTTTTCCCTATGATTCTGAGGCACCACACAACTCTCAGTTGCCTTATTGTCATCTCTCTATGTTAATGGTCTTTTGTTTTTTTAAGACAGCATCTCTCAATGTAGTGCAGGCTGACCTTGATCTCCCTTATGTAACCCAAGCTGGCCACAAATTCATGGTGATCCTCCCGTCACAGCCTCCTGAATGCTGGGATTATAGGCATGTGCCAACATGCTCAACCCTAAGTATTTGTAATATATTTACATGTAAATATATGGAGTGTTACATATACAGTGTCATAAATGCACATATTATACAGTGAGTACCTGTAAATTCATAAATATAAAATATATAGTAATGATAGTTTAGATTTTTTACAGCTAACTTTCAGAAATATTTACATAAATGAGGCTAATAGGGCCTTTCAATCATTTTATCAAACTTCTTCCCTAAAATGAAAACATAAACTTTAAAAATTTATCTGCTTAAGTGCTTTATGCCTTTATTAGATCTTAAAAATGACTGCTATAAAGCACCTGCTTAGGCCGATGCAGGGACCAGGGTTCGATCCCCAGCGTACCCTGCCAGCCCCAACCCCAGGTAGCACTGAGACAACGACTGAGACTGGGCATGGTGGCACATGCCTATAATCGCAGAACTTGAGAGGCTGAAAACAGGAGGATCACTACAAGTCCAATTTGTGTAGTGAGACCCTATAGATCCTGCACTAAATACATAAAAAATAAAAATAAAAAGACTGCTTATTTTCTTAACATAGCCTTGTGATTCTTCTTCTTTAGATTAAGTAGAAACTAATAATCTCTATCCTCTGCAAGTTATACTATATAATAAGTCCCTACTGGGGCCAGGAAGATGGCTCAGTAGATAAGCGCATCCCTGGCAAGCACAAGGGGCTGAGTTCAATCCCTGGTTCCACCAAACAGAAAAAGTCCCTACTAATTATTCTTTGACTAGTTGGGGCTTTTCAACCAGATTTAAAGTAATATTTAGGAAGACTGATTTTATAAACATTGACAGTTCATATTTACCTGTCTAGCCATGTTAACAAGGAAATCATTGGAACTGTAGATATTAGGTGTCTTAAATATTCTACAAAATTTGTTGAATCACTTTTGTATCTTACTGTTAATACTGTAAACATATAAGGACTTAATGTCATATTATCTATTCTTTAAATTTTTTTTGTAATGTTTCTCTTCAGCATTTGTGTAGCTTTCATGTTAAGAATCAACCCTTGAAAACAGTCCTCTGTTGTTGTTGTTTTTCATTTTCAGACCAGGGGAGCGGCTTTTTTCATTATTGCTGTAATCTGCTTATTGCTCTTTGACAATGATGACCTCATGGCTAAAATGGCTGAGCACCGTATCCTTTTGTAGCAGATGGGAATAGTGGAAAGACTTGCAGACTAATAGAAGACTGCAAAATGGGAAAGAAGAGATGAATGAACTAGGTTGATTGATCAGGAATGAAACTTCCACAGATTAGTGTAGACATCTTCATTATTCAACTAATGAACAGTTTAACTCTGTTAAATGTTTTAGAGCATTTAGTTTTTTCTGACAGTACCTGACAGTTCAGAAATTGAGACATTAAAAAAAAAAGAAATTGAGACTTTGAGAAGGTATATTAGATTACTCTGGCACTACAATACAGACATTTCAGTTTTCTTCACTGGTTTTCACTTGCTTGCTCTAAATTATTGCAGCCAGCTGAGCTTCCTCCAGTCATCGCTTATATAATCCACCTCTCTGGTCAAATATGCCTACTGACTTTATTCTGACTTTATTTATGCCTTATTTCCCTTGCCCATTCCAATCAGGAGAACTTAGAGCACCCAATTTGGCTCTTTAGGCTACTGTTGTGATTGCCCTAAAAGCTTATGAGTAAGATAATAATTACCTTGTCACCGTGAGAGAGGGAAACATGATTTAATAAAGTTCCAGGTTGTTTGTGATACATGTATTCCCTACCCACCCATTTTACTTGCTGCTTGCTGAGCTGAGGCGTATGTAGTCAGTGACTTAGGTGACAAGTTCAAGACTGGTTTTACTGATGGAGTGTGGCTAGTGCACACCTGCAATCACAGTACTGAGAAGGTTGAAGCAGAAAGACCCCCGTGAGTTGAGTCTAGCCTGGGATACATAGTGTTCAGGTGAGCCTGAACTGCACAGTAAGACTCTGTCTCAAAAAAAAAAAAAAAAAAAAAAAAAAAGACTGATTTTATGTTAGTCTAAGAAGACAGCCTTAATTCTGCTGGACAAAAGTGGTTCAGGGAGACACCTTGCACTTACCCCTTTGTTGTACAATGCATGTGTCTTTCAGAGGTGAAAAGTACTAAAATTTAGTACTAAAGTACTAATTACTAAAATTTAGCCAGTGTACTCCACTATTTTGGAGACAAAAAGAAATATAAGCCATTCCAACTTATAAAGTTTTTGCCAGAATTAAATTTTAGACTCTTTGGTTTTGATTTTAAAAGAAACATTAAGTTATTTAGGGTATTCAGGTTTGGGGCACCACCACTCTGCATGCAAACCAAAATAATGTAGCTAAAATTTCAAGAGGACTTCAAGCTTCTCAGAGTTAATGTTGGAATTTTTTCCTTTACTGTAACTCCCTTAGCTGAAGGACATCATGACAGTGCTCTAACTCACATGCTTTACACAGCAATTGCCTTCTTAGGTGTGGCAGATCACAAGGTATGTCCTTTGTTGTTAATGTGGTCAAAAGATTCTGAAAAGTAACAGCAACTATAACTTTGATTTTGTTTTGAGACAGGGTCTCACTAGTTCAGGCTAACTTTGAGCTCACTGTGTAGCCCAGGCTGGCCTCAAACTCATGGAGATCCTCTTGCCATATGCTGGTATGATAGGTGTGCAATACCACACCTAACTAGGTGCATGTAAATTCAGTTCTCAGGCTGTACAGCTCACTAGTAACTCACTTGCCTACTATCCACAAGACTGTGGGTTGGATCCTCAGCCCTATTAAGAAAAAAGGGGGGGGAGGTCAGGGAGGTGGCTCAGTAGAATAAGCACTTGCCTGGCAAGTTCAGGGGCCTGAGTTCAATCCCTGGTTCTGCCAAAAAATAATAGTAATAATTAAATAAGTAAAATAAATTACCAGTAATTTCAGTACACCGTGTCATTTAAATGGTTAAGTAATTGAGGATGTGAAAAAAACCACTAGTTCCATTTCATCAAATACGTATTTAAGCATTGAATAGTGTCTTGTTTCTGATGAGACTTGCCTCACTTTACTTACAGGGTGGAGTACTATTGCTAGTACTGGCTTTGTGTTGTAAAGTTGGTTTTCATACAGCCTCCAGAAAGCTCTCTATAGATGTTGGTGGAGCCAAACGACTTCAGGCGTTATCCCAGCTTGTTTCTGTGCTTCTCTTGTGCCCATGGGTCTTGGTTCTTTCAGTGACAACTGAGGTAAGAGCAAGAATGTATTGGTAATGAGTAAAACAAATTACTTTTACTTACAAATTTCTGTTTAGCATAGTTTTGTTTGGGGGATTTATTTGTTTCATTTGAGGCAGAGTTTTGCACTTAAGTTCAGACTGGCCTTGAACTGAGTGTGTCACCCAGGCTGGCCAGGAACTCAGTGATCCTTCTCAGCCTCCCAGGTGATAGAATTACAGGCATGCACCACCACTCCTGGCTCTATACAGTGCATTGCATTTTGTTTTAAATTGTGATGGGAAGTGACTTCAAGTATCTTTGTTTTCCCTTTGTAGTTTCATGATTTGGAGCTAACTTTATTGTTTATAAAAAATACAAGTCAAATATTACTGTATTAATGCATCTTTCACATTCCTGTGACCCAAAGGAATTACTTGAAAAAAGTCAGTCTTAGGCTCAGGGATTATAAATCACTCAGTATTTATAAAATTATTCAATAATATTTTCTTGGAAATACTGGAGAAATATACCAATAGCTTGTATTTCTTATATGTTAGTATTTTATGAATCATGAGAATATCTGTTTATACATAAAAGGCTGAACAAAAACATCTTGTAAATTGTGAACTTTATATATGCATATTGACCAGTTTCTGTTTGTTTTTTATTTCTAGAGTAAAGTTGGATCTTGGTTTTCTCTCATTATGCCTTTCACAACAGTTATCTTTTTTGTTATGATCCTTGATTTCTATGTGGATTCTATTTGCCTTGTCAAAATGGAGGTTTCCAAATGTGCCCGCTATGGATCCTTTCCCATATTTATTAGTGCTCTCCTTTTTGGAAATTTTTGGACACACCCAATAACAGACCAGCTTCGGGCTATGAGCAGAACCACGCACCAGGAGAGCACGGAGCACGTCCTGTCTGGAGGAGTGGTCGTGAGTGCTGTGTTCTTCATTCTGTGTAAGCATTTTCTCCTTGTTTTTTATTCTAACACAGTTCTTTTTATGGACTCTGATTTTCAGATCATTTATTCAATTTTAGAAATTGTGTGGGGCCAGGGAGATGGCTCAGTGGAATAAGCGCTTCCCTGGCAAGCGCAAGGGCCTGAGTTCAATCCCGGGTTCTGCAAAAAAAGAAAGAAAGAAAAAAAAGAATTTGTGTTTGCATTCCATTGCTTGCTGGCAGTTACTGAATTGGTTTTTGATAGCTTTAACTTTTTTAAACTTCTGTAATATACTTCTTTTCTCTTTGTAGCTGCCAACATCTTATCATCTCCCTGTAAGAGAGGACAGAAAGGTACCCTTATTGGATATTCTCCTGAAGGAACACCTCTTTATAACTTCATGGGTGATGCTTTTCAGCATAGCTCTCAATCAATCCCTAGGTTTATTAAGGAATCACTAAAACAAATTCTTGAGGAGAGTGACTCTAGGCAGATCTTTTACTTCTTGTGCTTGAATCTGGTAAGATTTTTAAGTACTAGTGGCATGTCTTAAAAGATCAATATTTTCATTTTGGCAAAATGATATTTTAGTGCTTCACAAATTTATAATAATTAAAGATAGCCTGAAATTTATATTTTCTCTAAGTAGCATCAGGATCACAGGACCATGTCCACATTACATACGCAAACAAGTAGTATGGAAGCATTCAGTACGTTATTTTGAATCCATAAATGAAGTAGCTTTTCAGATATTTTTATCTCCTTTTAGGATATCACTACAGATCACTGATCGCTAACATTTTACAACTTTATTTATTGTTTTTTGCAGATTTAAATAAAACTACCATGCCTCCTTTTAAATAGCTTATAAAATAAATATATTTAATTTAGCATTGTTTCTTACAATTTATATAAAATAAAGTTTCTATTGTAAGTGGCAGTTAACTAAAGAAGATTTTGAACAGATTTCCCAAGGTTTTGGTAGTTAAAGGTTAAAATCCTCATGATTAAATTCTGATAAATCTTAAATCTCTGTTGTAATGTATTTCCCAATGTACTCCTCTAATTCTGTTTTTAAACATTTTTTAGCTCTTTACTTTTGTGGAATTATTCTATGGAGTGTTGACCAATAGCCTGGGTCTGATCTCAGATGGATTCCACATGCTCTTTGATTGCTCTGCTTTGGTCATGGGACTCTTCGCTGCTCTCATGAGTAGATGGAAAGCAACTCGGATTTTCTCCTATGGGTAGGTACATGGACTATCACAGTAACATAGTACAATGAAAAATTAAGGTGCAAATTCCAAGTAATGGACTAAAAATATTGCTTTTAATGGAGATAATTTTCAGGTCTTCATTTATCTTAGTTTGAAGTACATAAGGGAGTATGAGGGCCAGGGAGATAGCTCAATAGAACAAACACTTGCCTGGCAAGCACAAGGTCCTGAGTTCAATCCCCAAAACCACCAAAAAATAAAAAATAGGGGAGTATGAACTAAGCATCTGCTAAATAATGATTGGGGCTGGGGAGATAGCACAGTGGAGTAAGTGCTTGCCTGGCAAGTGCAAGGTCCTGAGTTCAATCCCTGGTACCACAAGAAAAAAAAGAATGATAATGAGCTCAGGATTAAACTCCTTAGCAGATCCTTTCCATGGACAGAGACCAAAAAGAACAGTTAAAATCTTAAGATCTTTTAAAAACAAGAAAAAAAAAATCTTAAGGATCCCTAGCCTGCCATACCTGCCCCACCCCCAGTGCACACTGCAACAGCGATTGAGACTGGGCATAGTGGCACACACCTATATTCCCAGCACTAGGAGAGTTGAAAACAGGAGAATCACTACAAGTCTGATCTGTGTAATGAGACCCTGTAGCCCCTATAGCCCCTGCACTAAATACAAAACAAAATCTTAAGATCTTTGCCCAAGGTAGGTTTGAGGATTTTGTTGGTTTCTTTAGGAAATGGAATCAATGTAACTTTTTTGTTGTTGTTGTTTGTTTTTGTTTTTGTTTTAAAAAAAAAAAAAAAAAGAACATTAAAAATTTAAAGGGATAGTCATGGACATAGCTCAGCAGCGCAGTACCTGCCTGGCTAATGAAGGGTCTTCAGTTTGATTCCCGGTACCAATATATATATATATATATATATTTTATATGTGCTATACATAAAAATGTTCATTAAATACAGTAACATCAGAATCTTTTTTGTGTAAACTGTTTTGAAAAGAGCACTAATAAATTTAGCTATTACTCTCAACTAGTTATATCTTTAATAATAATTTTGGTACAAAGCAAAAGTCTGTTCCATAATAGATACAGAGCAGCACATCAAGGGTTTAAAGAAGAGAGAACTGGCAAGCACAAGGGCCTGAGTTCAATCCCCAGTTCTGCCAGGAAAAAAAAAAAAATGTTAATGCCATCTAATTTGGGCTGGGGAGATGGCTCAGTAGAGTAAGCGCTTCCCTGGCAAGTGCAAGGGCCTGAGTTCAATCCCTAGTTCAGCCAAAAAAAAAAAAAAAAAGAAAGAAAAAAAGAAGAAAAAAAATAACTTCTTGCTAAGAATTAGGAGGTAATTTTTTTTGTAGAAGGGCTTCATGTAAAATTCCAGCATTAATATGATACTTAAGTATTGGTAGTTTTCTATTATTTGTTTAGTCATTTGAAAATCTGGACTTGTTTCCTCTTTTGTAAAATAGTAATGTTTATAGTAAAATATAAAGTATTTATTTTCTTTTTCTAAAAATTACTGTGTTCTTAGGTATGGCCGAATAGAAATTCTCTCTGGATTCATTAATGGACTTTTTCTAATAGTAATAGCCTTTTTTGTGTTTATGGAGTCAGTGGCTAGATTGATTGATCCTCCGGAATTAGATACAAACATGTTGACAGTAAGTCTTTTCCTTTTCCTATTTGAATTTCTATTTATACTTGCAGTTTTTCTAGTAGTGTTTATCAATCTAGGAGATTTTATTTTAGTTTTATTGAAACCAGCAAATTCTTTCCTGACTACATAGTATCTGTCCATCATGCCTGGCAATGCCCATATCTTTTAACCTTTAGTCTTTACCATATAGAAGCACCAAAAGAGTATACTGGTCATGTCATTAGCATGTGCAAGGCCATCCCCTACACCAAAAAGAAAATAAATCACACAGAAATATTTACTGGGGTTTTTTGTTTGTTTCGATTTGGTTTGGTTTTAGTTTTTGTATTTTAGTATAGGGTCTCACTCTGATCAGCCTTGGAGTGATCCTCCTGTTTTTAGTCTCCCAAGCACTGGGATTACAGGCACATACCACCATGCCCAGTCTTAGTCGCCCTCTCATTGCACCCCAGGGTTGGGGCCAGCACACAAAATTCTTTTTTTTTTTTTTTTTTTTTGGCCAGCTCTAAGCAGGCACTTTAAACTGCTGAGCTATTTCACCGGCCCTTACACAAATATTTAGCGGTACATGATTTGTTGTACCAGTGTTTAGAATAGTGGAAAAATGAAAATAAACAAGTATGTACCAGTGAACGTATTGTTAAATAAATTTCTTGTCCATGTAATATAATATTATACAGCTGTTATAAAGAATAAGTACTGGCATGAAAAATATTTACTGTATGTACAAAGTGAAAAATTGCAAAATAATATAAGGTAATTATTTAATTGGTTGTTGAGGGTTTTTGAGACAGGTTCTTGCTGTGTAGCTCAAGCTGGCCTTGTACTCACTTTGTAGCCTATGCTGGTCTTCAACTCACAATATTCCTCCTGCCTCAGCCTCCTAAGTGAGTGCTGGGGTTATAGGCGTGTGCCACGATGCCCAGCTGTATATGTACATTAGCATATACACAGAAGATATACTGTTCTCTTAGAAGAAAGTGACTTGAGGGTAGAAGTACAGGGGACTTTCACCTTCTTCCCTTTTTCTAATGAAATATGCAAAACTAAAGTATTTCTCAGAAAAAAAAGTATTTCTCAGAAGAAAAAATTCACAAGGTGATAGGAGTTTCTGTAAGCAGCATTTGATGTTATTTGGATGCACTAACTCACCACAGACTTAAAAGTTACCTGAAATTCTGGCAGACCAGCAGTCTGCATCACAAGGAGTAAATAAGAAGTACATAAGCCTCATAGGGGCTGGGGAGATGGCTCAGTGGAATAAGCGCTTCTCTGGCAAGTGCAAGGGCCTGAGTTCAATCCCCAGTTCCACCAAAAAATAAAAAAGCCTTATATATGTCAAGTAAGTGTCTGCTCTACTATGCTGAAAAATGATTAACATTGTTTGTAGCCTTCATTTTTATATTTGCTTTTTATAAAACAAATCAAGGGCTGGTGAGATGGCTCAGTGGTCTAAAGCACCTACTTAGAACAAGCTAAGCTGAGCAAAGCACAGGGACCACGGTTCAATCCCCCAGCACCACATGCCAGCCAGCCCGCCCCCTGGTGGGCTGAGCTGGCCACACACA